CAATTGTAAATGTTTTATAGGGCAGCAGGAGAGGAACATTTCCAGTAAGGCAAAAAGGATAGTTTACTTATGTGTGTCTCTGCCCAGAAGTATAAAAGGACTCGGGATACTTCATGTTCTTTGATTTATGGACTTTTTTTTCTTTCCTATAGAGGAAGGGTTTACTGATGGCCTGGGCAAGCATGGGTTTGCCTTGCAGGTGTTTGAGCTGAGCATGCCAGTGGTTGGCTGCAGGGGCTTCTGCTGGCAGCTGTGCAGAGGAGAAGGTGGATGTGGGCTCAAGTAGCAGGTGCTAAAAGCTGAGCCTGGGGGTGAGAGTTCCCCAGTTGTTTCTTACTGTGCCTGCTGCAGCTCTTTCAGCTTTTTTTACAAGCTTTGCTCAGAGATGTTTCACAGTCAAAGCATTGCAATGTTGTTCTTTGAGCCCTTGAGTGAAGGATATTCTTGTGGTTTGAGGCACAATTTGGGGAGGAACGTGGGGGACAAGGACTGATGGTCTGATGATTTAAGTACCAGCCTTTCTTGATTTCGGAGGAGTCGTGCTTGAGTGCCTTGTATGTTCCCAGATGTTGCCTTTTTCATAAATGCTTTTTAGTGCCTTGATCTCACAGGTCTTTTTTGAGCTTCTGGTTAGCCATGCTGTATTAACTGATCTCAGGGAAACAGAGGCCTTGTTCTGGGGTGGAAAGCAGTAGGTGTTGAGCTGGACTTCCTACCATTATGCACAGCTTGTGTATATTTATAGAGCTGTTAGTATTTGTACAGTGAAAGCGGACTACTAGAGGCTTTCTCATCTTTGTCTTCTTCCTAGCTTGGCATCCAGTTTGTGTCTTTCTAAATCCTTAAAATTCCCAGTTTTAGGGGAATCACAGTTGCTGTTGCTTCAGTTTTTAGTTAAAATCTGTATATTTAACTCAACCACTCCTTGGGTCAAGTGAACATAGGAGCAGTTTTTATCCCAATGATGACAGGTGAGAGAAGCAGAGGTTCACTGGCTTCTAGGAGCTGTTTGTGAATTTTTGTACTGTCTTTTTGTCTATTCTTGGCCCATTTTTCTTTTCTAGACTAAGCAAATCCAACCTGTCCAACCTTTGCTTCCTGAGTGGACCTCTCTGTGGGTGGACCCTCTGGGTAGTCCACTTAAGCACATTGAGCTTGTAGGAGGCAGGAAAAAACAAGGCCACCTATTGTTTTTCCTGTTCCTGACTTAGTCTCCCTTCACCATGTGCTGCTCCATCTTAGCAGCCCATGTTGCTTCTAGTTGCCAAAGGAGGGCCAAGGATGTACCCCCAGGCTGCCTTTTTCCCTCTCATTCCCAGGACATTTCTGCCATTCCTGTCTTAATGGGCCCCTTCAGCTGACCTTGGAGTTCCAGCTTAAGCCATGGCATTAAATCAGCTCTTATTTAGCAGCCATTTCATTCCTCCATGGGCAGCTATTTCAAACAGAGGACCCTTACAGCATGGGCAAGTTATGCACCTCCAGACCAATGTCCAGGAGTTCATAGCCTTTGCAGTCTTGTCTGTTCGTGTGGGGCATTATCAAAGCATTCGAGTGTCTGAGCCCAGGAGGTCACTTTCTGTCTATTTTTGGTTTGAGCTGAAGTGTAAAGAGATGGTGCAGTGATAAGTTTGGTCCTCTTTCTTTCTTATTAAGGCTATTTCTTCAAGTAGTAGCAGAATGGAAATAGTAACTCATCAGCCATCCAAAAAGAAAAAAAAGAGAAGTCTATTTGTGTTTCTTGGTGGATTTATTTCTACCTGGGAGTGGGCGTGTGAGCTTTCAGTGTGGCACATGGATCTCAAATGATTAGTCCTTTAATAGTATGAAGAATCATCTGTGACCTGCTGGCCAAGGTCAGCTTTGGGCCAGCACATAGCTGGAGTTGCTGTGTGAGAAGTGTGAGCTGTTCCTCCTGGTCCTGGTGCAGGAGGTCTGCCTGATGGTCTGTCTGCCAGAAACCAAGGTGCATCCCCCACAGCAGGTGTTGGCTGTGACTTCAACAGGCACAGGTTGGGAGTAGGGTGGAAAACTCTTCATGGCAGGTTACTCTGTCTTGGTATTTTCTTTGGAAATGTCTAAGAGCATCAGCTGCTCTCCCAGGGAGGAAGCTGGACTGGATGGACCAGTCTTGACAATTCCTCTCTTCTCGGTGCTTTTTGGATGGGTACACACACTGGGAAAGGGACCCAGAGCAGAATGACTTTAGTCTTCCTTCCATTTGCACCCAGCTTTCATTTCTTCTTCTTTCTTGCCCCATTTCATGCTAGTTTCTCATTTTAGGTGTATACTTTATGGGTTTGGGTGCTTCCCCCTTTTCTAGCAGTGTGTCTGAGCACCATTTGATGGGGCAAGTTGGCTTCTTCTCAAGAGCTTTATGGAGCTGTAGCATGATGGGGCAAAAATGACAGAGCCATTCTCCTCTCCTGCTCTTTGCTTCCCAAAGTGCAAGCCAAAATGCTGCTAGGCTAAATAAGCAGACTAAAAACTAAAACAAAAAAAAATAAATCAATAGTTTTGCAACTGAGAACTAAGACCTGTAAGCACTTGCATAAGCACAGCATGTGCACATTTGATCTGATTTATAGGTGTTACTTGTAGGCCTTGTTGCCTAGTTTTGGTGCCTTTATGGAAATAAATGAGCTAGAAATGGTAGGTTGTTTGTGCCGGGCCTTCCAGCATTCATCAGTTCTCAGTCAGCTCTTGAGCTGTCTGGAAACGTGTGCTGTCTTCTCCAAGTTCAGCTGTCACTATGCCCACTATTTGCTTGATTTTATTTCTTTTTTTGCTATTTTAGGAACATTCCTGAGAAAAAGAAAGTTTGTTTTTTGGGTTCTGCAACCTTTTAAAGGATGGTGAGTGACTATTACTAAGATGAATTTCAAGTCAATGTTCAATCTGATCTCCCTAGATGCAGAGTTTTCCTGTTTGCAGCTCTGTCCCCAGGTCTCTGAACTTCTGTTGCTTTTGAAATGTTTTCTCAATTAGGAAAGCAGGTTGTGTAAGAAAACATGTTAATGAAAAGCCATGTTAATGGAAGTTCTTGCCCCTAGAGGAGCCACAGCTTAACGCTTTAATTTGGTTGGGGATGGCTGGAGGGTTTAACGTGATCCTGGGTGTTAAACTCTGCTGATGGCTGCAGATAAAAAGCATTTTAAGCAATTTTATTTCCAACAGGCAAGGCTGCACTGTGATACTTTGTCCTCTACAACAGGTAGAAGCTATGCTTTGGGTCTCTTGTGAAAACATCAGTACTCGGGGTCCCATGAAGGCTGTCTCCCCTTTTCCAGTGCTGTCATTGGGATCACCAGGAGCATTGCCTGTGCTCCACTAAGACCTTGCTATGAGACATATCAAGCCTTTAGTCTACTCCAAGGCTTGTTTTCATCTTCCTTTGATAGTCTTTGCTTTTGCAGCAGGCATTGCCTCAGTGTGCATCCCTCCAGAGCAGCAGCTAGGCACCTCGTTTGTGCTGAAGAGGAGAGCACCGCGTTGCGGCGGCGGCTCAGGTGCTGCCTGCCTGCCGCTCCCCTGCCCCTGCTTTCCTTCAGGTGTTGTTCTTCCCAGCTCCCCACTCACAGCGTCCCTGCTGCGTGGGGAAAGGCGCCCTTGGCCCGACGGCCTCGCCTGAGAAGAATGCAGACAGTCTGGCAGAGTGCAGGTTAAATAAAGTTTGCCTTGGCAGGGCCCGAGCTCTTGGCCGTGCTGCGCGCTGCCTGGGCGTAGCGGTGACGGAATCGCAAGCACGAACGCCGGCTGCCAAGAGGAACGGGTCTCCTGGCCCTGCTTCTGGACTCCTCTGGGGCTCTAAGTACCAGTGAAATCAGGAGCCTTTTCCCTTCCCCAGCCCTGGGCTCTCCCCTCTTTGCTCCGGAGCCTCCCACGGGTAAGGACTGCAGCCACAAGCCGTCGTGGTCAGTGCTGCTCCACAGAGTCTCTGTCTTGCTAAATCGATGGGGACCCTCCTGGTGGTCTCTGTGGCATCATGGCATCATCCACTGGCCTCCCCTTACTCTAAGGGGGGAAGATTTTTAAGCAGAGGCAAGCTTTGACTGACAGCCGTGGCTTTTGCTGTTACAAGGGGAAGTGATTTTGCTTCTGGGAAAGAGGGTCTGCAGGCTGGATTTAGAAGCTTGCACTGGCCAGCTCTTGGGTGGCGTGGACACGTCCCCCCCACGCTGGCTGCAAACACCTCTGAGCCTGTACGTGGAGTAGCATTTCCTTGGCCTCAGGATGTGCAGGTTGTTACCGTATAAAGGGCAGAGTCTTGGCCCAGCAGGAGGGCAGAGCAGCAGTAATGTTGGCAGGTACCTAACTCGGCTTTTAATAGATGGGATTTGGATGGGAGCAATGATGATTTCATTGCCTGCCATGGGCGGACGGAGCAGGGCTGGACAGCAGGGAAGCAGGAGGAATGAGAGGAGCATGAACCAGCAGGATATTTGTGCCTTGCCATCCTTGGAGCATGTGTTTTGGTCTCCAGGCGAGACACCCTTGACTCTTCTGGTAGCAGGAGGGACTGATGAGAGTCCTGGTTGCCAGACCATGCTTGTACCCAGTCAGTCACAGGAGTTGCTTTACAAGTTAAAATACCAATTTTGGTGGTTCTCTCAGCTCTCTTCTCTGCTTGGTCATGGACATAACTTAGGAGGCTAAGACCAGTCATACCCCTTAGCCATGCTTCCTTTAGGGACCAGTTACTTATTTGGTTTCCTGCAGGCAGTGGAGTGATGGAACTTTTCATGGCTTTTGCTTTTCTGCTCTGACTTTTGCATTAGTGTTTCTGTCTGTAGGATGGGGAACATTTACATACTTATGGTGCACAGGAAAACTCAGCTAATAAATACTTGTGCACATGTTCAATGTATAGGCATGGAAACTGCATGTTAACCTACCCAGCAAGTTAGTTTTTCCCTTGAGGGCCTCTGATCAGTGGAAAGCCCCTGAGATGCTACCAAGCCTGACTTTTTCTGATGTTTTCTCTCTCCTTGTGCCCACAGGTGGCTGGAAGTCCAGGTGGTTAACCTGACCTGCACTCAGCGCTGGGTCCAGTACCTCCAGTTGCTACAGGAATCTATCTGGCCTGGAGGAGTTTTACCAGCAGTCCCCAAACCAGCCAGGACAGAGGAACAGAAGAAAGCAGCAGCAGAGCAGGCCCTGCAGAGCCTGATGGGAATCTTACCTAGTAAGTGTGTTAGAGATGTCTCAGCTGCCCTTGAGAACAGAGCAGTGGGGGAGGCTGGGGAGCCTTCTAGTGTGTTGGCATCACTGGAAGTGTGGTAAAATGCAGAGATGGAGCCTGCTTATACCAAAGCACCAGGGAACATTCATGTTTGAGTGGTTTCATGCAAGCAAAAAATCACTGTTTCCCAGTTCTAGATAGTTTGCATAAGCATCTGGGGAGCAGCACAGCTCAAAGAGAAAGGAATGTGTGTTTTGGTGATTCCCAGAAGCAGAGTGGCCATGTGGTCTATTCCTGCTGAGCCACCTCCAACGAGGTGGGGCTCAAGAAAGCCAGTGCCACACTGTGTTCCCAGCTGCTGCCCAGGGATACCATTGCTGGGAAGAGTCATAAGGCAAAGCCTCTGGCATCCAGCTCTAGAGAGTGGCTTTCCCACTGGATGGAAACCATGGTCCCAGCTGCACTGGATTTCCCTCTCTTGAAGTTTGACATGCCGACCTTTGGCATTAAAGCAGCTGCTGCCTTATCCCTGTGAGTGCAGTCTGATCTTTTAACTCCTTGCTGCAGTGCAAGGGGCCCTTTCTACCCTTTGGGGTTGGAAAAGTGCTACCAGGATATGCCCTTCCAGCCTGGAACTCTTTCCTGGCCTCCAGTCCTGTCCCTGCCTGGTTTTGGTCACGGTCTTGTTGTGCATGATGTGCCTCAAGCTCAGAGCACCATCACAAACTTTGATTTAGTACCCACCAGCAGAAGACCAACCCTGTTTTACTACCATAGAAATGTGCAGATCCTAAAGGCTTGTCTCTGGCCTTGGCAGATGTGATCCAAGAAATCCTTGGAACCAGTAAATGTCGAATGAGCTGGAGCCTGGTACTGGAGTCTCTGGGCCAGCCTGTGATAAACAGGTACGTGGATGCCACAACAGCCTTTGCAGTGGGGCCTGTAAGCTGCACTCAGGGCTTGGTTCTGAGATCAGTGCTGCCAGCTTCTTGGCACAGGATGTATCTGGCTAATTATCCTCCACTTAGATGATGGGAGGGCATCTGGCTTGCTCGTTAGGAAGGTGCATGTCTAGGACTTCGGTCTGGCTGGAGATTACTGAGCCAGTCTTCTTAATTATGTTGTTGGGCCTGCTTAGCTTATGGATGTCAGAAGAAATCAGACAAATCCTGGTTTAGCTTGTTTCCAGAGGAGCTTAGGAAGCAGCATATATGGATAGATAATGTTTTCCTGTATACCCATCACTGTGCATCTGGAAAGCAGTGTTTTTGTGATGAACTGCAGAGAAATGCATGTGCCACCTCACTCCAGGAGAGGCAGCTGTGTTTTCCGTGCTGCTCAGCAGCTTTAAGCATTCCCTGATTTGGGAGATGGAAGCAAAACCTGAACCATCCCTTGAAACCTTTCATTTAGGGTACAAAGTCTCCTATCTTTCCCTGATGGAACTCAAAATACTACTACTTTTGTGAGCTTGGGCTTTGACGTGACTGGAGCTCATCTCCCAGCTCTGCTGTGCCCTGACCAGCCTAAGCTTTGTCTTCTCTCCATTTCAGGCACCTGGTTTTCTGCCTCTTGGACATTCTGCTGGAGTTCTTGGTTCCGAAGGGCTCCAGCAATGAGCTGGAGACAGCAGCTGTGGCACCATCTGTCTCTAGAGGCCTGGACAAAGCAGGCATTTCAGCACACTGACCAGGGCTGGGGTGGCCAGCAGTGGAGGAGAGGAGCAGCCCCAGGCTTGGGATGATTTGATTTTCAGTGTTTACTGAATGTGTCTGGGAGCTTCTTGTAAAGAATTTTTCCAGCCAATGCTAAATGAGTCTGCTTCCAGGCTTCTCTGGTTTGGCTGAGTGATGGATTCAATCCAGTGTCAAGGGCTGAAGATGCTTTTCCACTGTAGTGTCTGTTCCATTGCTAACCTGCTGGAGAGCCTGGAATGAAGATGCCTGACTTCTGCAAAGTGGGATGATCTGTGGAGGCTGCCCACAAACTCTGTTGTCTTGCTCTTCCTTTCTGAACATCTGAAGGCAGACAGCACATAATGTTTGTGACTGTGGCCTCAAGCTCCACCTGGCACTGGCGTGCAGTGACTTCCTGTGATGGTATCTTGTTGATAATACTTCTCCAGGACAGCTGAGGGGATGACCAAATGCTGTCCTTGCCCTCCAAACAGCCTGCCCTGTGCCTGTGCCACGCCATCTGTTTTGCCAGAAGGAAAATGGGAGAGAATGGAACGTTGGAGATGAGGTGATGGGCCTGAAGTCAGCACTGGGAGCCCATCCCACTGCCCAAACAACTGAGAGGCTGAAAGCAGTGCAGAAATCAAAGCTGCTGCCCTGTCTTAGGGACAAAGATAAGCTTCTTCCTGCTGCCATGGCTCTGGCATGGTCTTGTGGCATCTTTTGCTGCCTGAACAGCAGGATGCATGTAGGCTAGGCAGTGATCATGTGAAAGAACTGTCCCCAGGCTGAAGAGGAACGTTAGCTTAGCCTGACTTCAGAATTACTGTGTTTTTTGCCTCCTGAACTTGTTTTATTCCCAGAGGCTGTCACCTGGCAGGCACAGGAGAAAAGCAGCTGACCCACATCTGAGACACAAGAAGTAAATCAGCTCTCATGCAAAAGCACTCATCACAGCAAGCCCTGGAAGGGGACTGGGCACCTCTGAGCCTAGGAGGAATTCTGGATGAGTATCATGGACAGCCAGTGGGTTGGACCACAGCGATGACCTTGAGAAGACCACCCTTAGCCCTGTTGTTGATTGCTGTCACTATGCTTGGGTTTACTATGCCTGCACTGTGTGCTGAGGGCTCTAGAAAGCCTGTCAGGTCATGATGTGCCACCCAGCACAGAATGGCATGTCCTTTGACAGCTGCTTTTCCGGGTCACCCAAGACTGGAGTGGTTTTGTGAGCTTCTGCTGCCCAGCTGACAAGTTTGTGATGGGACAAATGGACAAAGAATATGCACCAACAGACCAGTTTGACCTATTTTGGTGTATTTCCTGGGAGAAATATCAGCTAAGCAGTACTGGACATAGCTGATCAAGGGGTCATTGCTCTGGGTGTTCTCTGCAGATTCAAGTGCTTAGAAGAGACTTCACAAGAGGGGATCGTGTAGGATCACGGCTTGTTTCTGTGTTACCAAACAGGGCATTTCACACAGCCTGCCATTTCTTGAGCCAGATACTCCATGGCATGTTTGGAGAGAAGATGATGTAGTTCCAACATGCATGCTACTGGAAATGGACACTCCTCTTTCCAGAGGCAACTTCTTAATAATGGACATGGGGTGGTGTGTGCTGCTTTCTGCTTGTTATTTGTGTGTGTTGTGTGAACATAGAGGAAAAGATTAGCTTGCTGGCAGCAAGCATGTGTTTAGGGAGCTCTGAGGACATCTTGAAACTAGGCAGAATCCAATGTAGTGAACCAAAGCAGTTTTGCATTGCTTCTAAGAGCCATTTCTCAGCAGTGACCCTTAGGAGATGGTAGAGTTGCCACCTGCTTGGTGAAGGAGGGAGCATGTGCAACAAGTAGCTTAGGAGTAGATCAGGCAGAGCAGTGGGGAGTGCCCCATGTGGAATAACCCTAAATGGCCAAGCAAGCAGCAATTTTGAGATTAAATGGAGCACAGTGGTGGCAAAAACAAACTTCTGCATTCAGGTGGGCTGAGAGTGTATTGCCTTTGGACAGACTAGAAATACTGCTTTGGTAAAACAAGGGCAGCAAAACCAAAAAGTTTCACTTTACACTGGCTCTGTGTCATACTCCCAGCAAGCTCCCTTTTTCTGCAGGAATTTGTGCACAAGGCTTGAACTATCTCTTGCTAAAGGGAGGGTAGCAAGAGCAGCCAGATTTGATCTCTGAAGTTTGCAGACTTCTCTCATACTAACTATAAAGCAGTACACGCTTTGGGTGGGTGTTCAGCTGTCTGGGTCCTGCTGGGCATGGGTGTTCTGCTTCCAGCCTGCTGCTTGCTGGCTGTGGCACTGAGGAAAGCACTTCATTGCCCCTGCCTCAGTTTCCTCCAGTGCTGCCTAGGTAGGCTGCAAGCTCCCTGGAAGCAGGGTCTGCTTGTGTGCATAGAGAGCAGAGTGCAGCAATACAGACCTTCAGGGCACAGCTCAGTTGGAGCTGTGCTGAACCAGAGCTTGGTTTGAGGGGGCTGGAGGGGGGAAGTGCCACTGTGCACTGCTTCCCTGGGATATTTCCTGTATTCAAACCCTTGTATCAGCTACTTGTGGGTGCAGACATTCAAGTCTGTGTAGAAGAGTGCTGTCTTGAGAACCTATTTTGTTGTTAAAATGGGAGCAAACCGCTGCTCCCAAGCACTTGCAACTTCTGTTCTGACTCTATGTACAGTAATACTTCATTTCAAACTTGTTCCTGTGTTTGGGTTTAAAATTTACCTTTGCTGAGGACCTGCCAGTAAGACAGCCCTTGGGAAGGGACAAGCAAATAGGGAGAGGCCAGAAGACCCATGTGAGAGTGGGAAGTGGGGAGCAGGCATCTCCTTCAGTGTCCCAAAGTGCCTGGCTGGGGCAGCTGGGCTGGTGGCAGTGGGTCTGGGACAGTGGTTTGCCCTCCTGGCACACAGCATTAGTTGTGACTGTTCAGACATGGGAAACACTGAAGTCCTTAGCAGCTTGGTCAGAAACAGGAACAGTTTTCTCATCTCCAGTAGCATCAGCACTGCTTCTTTCTCCCTGACAAGCAAACTTCTTGGTTTAGGATTTGCATTGAGTGTGAAACCAGAAGAGCAATGTGGAGATCTTTGGCCTTACTCCTGGAAGAAAGTGAAAGACAGCCAGAGAAGCAGGGCTTGTGCAAACCCATCTGCCACATCCTTTGTGCACTGCTGCCTAGGAAGTTCACCCTTGATATCAGTCCTGGAGGAGGAAAGCTGGTAAGCTATAAGGAAATAGAGAATGTCTGGAAATGAGAAATTCCACATGAAATTTGAAGTATTACATGGAAGGGAAAGAAAAGAGGGAGGAAGAAAAACCTGATACAATGAATGCTTGGGTCATGTATTATTCTGGATTAGCTCTGCCCTGGACAGATCCCATCCACCCTCTGAAACCCATTACCCACAGGCCAGCGAACATTTGTACAGCACATGATGCAGGGATCGTAGCTGAGCCAAGTTCCCCTGTATAATATCCACCCCAGGGTAGGTTGGTCCATTTCCAGTGTCAACAGCCTGAGGATTAAGCATTTATCTCTGCAGAACAGCAGATAATTAATACCAGATCGAAGCAGGGGCTATGCTGGGTTGTTTGTGACTCTGGCTGGGACTGAGCGTGGCTTTCTTGCCTGCAGGCGAGCTGTGGGGAGCAGGATGAGGTCTCCTCTGTCCTGCAAGGTGCAGGGATCACCCTGGTGGTGTGTGCCTTAGAGCAGAGCATTGGTGGCTCCAGGGCAGTGTGCTGGGGTGGCATCAGCCTTCCCAAACAAAGCTGAGGCTGAGCTCACCCATCCTGGCCAGAGGCAGTAGGCATTAGGGTTGTAAACCCATCAGGAGAACTTTCTTTCCAGATGGATGCTGGAAGAATGGAATTGGGATACTGTAGTTTGCCATTCTCTGGCTTTAAATGTAAAATCCAGCTTTTGGCACTTGTGACTTTTTTGAAATAAATTAATACCATTACCCTGGCTGCAGCCCAGCTCAGGTAATTATATTCTTCCTACCTTAATGCCACTCCAGCCCCTTGTCTCCACTTGATATGCTATACTCTAATTCCTGTCTGGAATTTGCTTATTATGTTACAAAGTCTTTTTTACTTTTCCTCCTCTGAGTACAGCATGTGCACAGAGCATTAACCAGCCCCCAGCACTGTGCTGAGCTGCTGAAGTGATTGAGAGAACCCCCCTTAGACATTTGACTGTACCTGGTTGTGTCCTGGAGCATCTTGCCTGACTTTTTAAGCCTGACCAGCTGGGAAGGTGGATAACAAAAAATTGGAGGGCGTGTTGTGGTCCTGTCTAACCCAGTGAACTGCTAGAAACAGTTCTCTCCTCTCAGAGTGCCTTAGGCTGGGGAGTGAGTTAGTGGGAGGAAACTCGGGACTCCTGGGCAGCCAATTTACCTTCCTCTGTTGCCATTTCTTCCAAGAGTTTTGTAAAGTATGTCTTAGTTCCAGGTGGGGGATGAATCCTCTTGTCTTCAAGGAGAATATTGGCAACATCCTGATGTAAATATGCCCAAACCTCCCTGCTAATCTAGTGGAGCAGTCTTGCCTTGATCTGAGGTTAGCAGCCAGCCCTGAGAAATCCTGTATCCTGCAGTACGTGCTAAAAGCTGGTTTGAGTACCTGCTTTCCCTTTTGATGCGGTTTTTCCTGTCCATGCTGGGGCTTGTTGGCCCTTACATCTCCTGCAATTGATGCATTGGGTTGTTTTTTCCTCTTTGAAAAGTACTTAAAGTTGCTTTCTTTCCTTACCCTTTCAGTTCTGCTCTCTTCATCTCCTGGCCTTGCTGAAAAGTTTGCTCAAGCACTACTTGAGAGCGTCCCACAATTCACTGTACTTGCTTCCTGTTCCCAGGCCCCTTTGCTCCTCCGTGGCCCTCGAGGACAAGGAGGGGTTGAGGGACAGCAGGGGTGAGGATCAAAGAAGATAAACCACTGTTTGAAAAAAAATCTAGTGCCCACTGCTTCTCTCCAGCATTGCATCTGGCAGAGCCTCGTTAACCTTCTGCTTCCCCCTCCTACTCCTTTGCGCCTGAAAATCAACACAGCCAAACATAAGTTGCCTTGATTGAAGAAGACTGAAGTGTGTGTGCTTAGTGTGAAAAAGCAAAAGCAAAGCCATTGGCTGGAGCCTCTTTTCCATGCAGGCCACTTCACATTTAT